AGGCGCAGAGCATAGGGTCACCCAGGACAGAGCGGGGAGCCTCAGCTCCTCGTCCCCGGGCAGCACTGGACACCTGGCTCTTTTTTACTCAGCTCCAGAAGTACCGCGGGGGCTTGAGCCAGTTCCCAAAGAAAACCGAACGCCCCACCTGGCATCCCCAGAAGAAGACGCCTTTGGAAGGGAGGGGGAGTTGCTCTGTGAGTTGGAGAGAAACCGTTAGTTAGCGCACGGATTCAGCAAGGTTTTCACAAAGTGAAGCCGGCTGATGCCCAAGTTACTGATCACCACACCTCCTAAAGGGGAATGTCAGATATTCTCCACCTCCACCCGAGCTGTGAAGGGGCAGGTTAGAGACAGGTTCCCTTCGTGCAGTACCGCAGATTACAGATTAAAGAGGATTTGCTGCAGGGATCATCTGCCGGAAGGATGGAAGGGAGAGGCTGAGTGGCTTTAACAGGGCAGTGGAGCCTTGCCTGTGGCTGAGGATAGTGGGGAGGGCCTCAGAAGAGGCCAACCCAGGCGTGACCCAGGCCCAGCTGGGCCAGTCTTCCTCCCACAAGCAGGTGAGACGCTGAGGGGACAGATGCCCCTGAAGCTTTAGAGGCATTAGAGGCTCAGAAGGGTCAGAGCAGCAGCTAGGGGAAGGCAGATGCTTGGTGAGTGGGGTGTTGGTGAGGGATTCCCTGAGCTAAGTAGGGTCTGAGCTGGTCAGGCTCCTGTGGAAGTTTCCAGAAGCATGTTCCGTCCTGACCCCCAAGACCCCTCTCTCAATGGCAGGCTGACTGGCTTCTGCCTGAATACACTCTGGACAAAACTGAGACCCACAGGCACGGCCCTCCCTGTTGGTAGAAGTGCCAGAGGTCTGCCTGCTGTATTTCAGTCTGATCTGTGAACCAGTAGCAGTGGTCGGGACCAGTTAGAACTCAGCCAGAGGAGGGAAGAAGGCCTGAGGCAGCAGGTAAGATCAAGCTGAGAAAAACAATGGGGCTGCTACTGGAGCTGTTATTGGCTGTTTGGCACTGGTGGACTGGAAGATGGCAGGGTGTTCACGAGCCAGCAGGTTGAGGAGAAACCTTCCTAGTTGGGTGGCCTTGCTTCACCCGTCAGGGTCTCAGTTTCCATAGCTGAAAATGAGGGGATTAAACTAGATGATTTCTAAGCTTCCTTGCAGCTCCGGCCTTCTACAAGTGGATGGAGTGGGGGA